ATAATTCATCGTCTGATATAGATAGAAATAATTGATGGATAATTGAAAACTATTTAAAACATTTCAAAGAATTGTAGAATATAAAACTTTTTTGTCCTTTCTGCATGGGCGSGAACGCAAGAAAAGGTTCGTTTCTTTCTCAGATTGATAGTACACGTGTTCTTAGGTGGTAGCAGTCCGTGTGTAGCTTATTGTTTGGCTGGCATACGTCTTTAAAGAGCTTCAAAGTGATTGTCTCGCGACGTTCACTCAGAGTTGTTAACCCTGTGTCCAATAAAGCCTCTTTGTAGGTCTTGTCAGGAGAAATAATGCGTAGTGCGCGCTTCTGACAGCGCTGTAAATCAGTAGAAACACTGCACATGCATATTCAGTTATAGGTCGAATACAGGGGAGGTAGAATAATGTAAGCAGCTCTTTAGGTTTCACCTGAGAACGTTTAAGTTGACGCAGAAAGTACAGACGCTTGTTGACCTTCTTTATAACTTCAGATACTTGGCTATTCCACTTGAGATCGYTGGAAAAATTGACTCCTATAATTTTGATTTGTGTCACACAGTCAATGTTCTTGTTATTGACCATTATTGGTTCAAAGTCCTTATCAGAACGGGCAAAGGTAAGGCGGAGTTCTTTGCACTTGTCTTCATTCAGCTGAAACGTTTCCAGGGATACTTGTTMGGCGAGGTAGTCGACATGTTGGTGAATGTGGGGCCGAGTTTGGTCCCTTGCGGGACCCCAGCTGGGATGGGGCCCCATTCCGTGTGGTATTCCCGGGTAAGCTTAACCCGTTGTCTGCGGCATGTTAGGAAGTCCACCACCCAGCACACAAGGCTGCTGGGGAGGCCCGTACGTCGAGAGTTTGTTAACTAAGATCCTATGATCAATAAGGTCKAAGGCCTTACGAAAGTCGAGGCATAGTACAGCACGAACCGTGCCGCCATTACCATCGGTCGCACACAGTCACGAGTGGACCATGCTGATCAGGGCTAGTGTAGYGCTAGACTTTGATACCGTCCCAAATTGGTGTTCATCTACCTTTGCAAGCACAGCAGGTTTAATATACTCCACGATGTAGTCCTCTGCGATCTTTGACAGAACAGGAGTCCGCGGTATTGGACGAAGGTGCTTGTTTACATCATGTATGGGTTTCTGCTTGGGTATGGGCACTATATCTGCGTCCTTCCATGATTGAGGTAGCTTGGAATCTTGAAAGGATTTGTTCATGATATCAGCAATTGGCCGGGAGAATAGGTCGGCATTTTCTTGGAGGAGCCATGCCGGCACTTCATCGGGTCCAGTAGCTTTGTAGATGGGCTTAAGGCCGATAACNCACACCATTTTGTTAGGGCAGGCAATTCCAAACGTTTGAAATGAATGATTCTTTTAGAAAAGAATTTCACCTGAATTATTTGACATCGATTTCACACTGCATCCTTGTTATTTTGCAAGACTATATGCCTACCCAAACAAAATGATGTCAAAACCGTCACCTCAACTATTGATATTCAAAACAGTATTTTTAGATAAATAAATATAAATAAGATCAAATAAAATAAAATAGAATAAAATTTAAAAAAATGCTACAACAGAAGCCCAAAAAATCAGGAGTGGCATTATATTCTTGATAAAAGTTATATATATAAATAACATAAAATGAATTAAAATAAAATATAAATTTTTTGCTACTCCTTTTTCCCATTTGCTTTTCAGAAATAAATTGTCAAACACTAAACTGCATAAATCAAAGAGCTATGAATATGATTTCTTTATTTACCTACAGCTTGCTCAACCAATTCGTTTACTTCTAAACTATGTTGGAGAAGAATTTGAAGACAGGAAATATGCTTGTGGTCCAGGTACGTTTTGAATTATTCTATTAATAGTTAACTTCATTATTATTATCAATTCTATTATTAGCTATTTTCGTATTTTATCTGTAGATGATATTACATGTGTGCACGAAGATATGGATTTAATTCAGTTGTTGAAAAGATCAACAGATTTTCAACACAAGATAAAATCTGTATCTCAAGACGAGCATGCAATATTCTTCTTATCATGCCATCATCCATAAGTTACTACTAATGCATATAAAAAATTTATTTAACCTTATCAGACCATCCAATAATTTTATTTCGATTTTTCAAAAATTTTGTGGAGACAAAATTTGATGTTCTTTCATAGAAATGGCAACTTATTATATTTATTTCCATTCTCAATGTGAATTGTGTTTGTAGTTATTATACAATATTTATTTATTTATTTTTTTTTAGCTCCAGATTATAGCAGAGAGAGTTGGATGAAAGAAAAGTTCACTCTTGGTCTTGATTTTCCAAATGTAAGTATTTGATTAGTTGTAATACTATTAAAATCATTGAGCAGAATTGCAAATATCATTCMTCTTGTTCCTTCATCCAACAAAATGCAGGCAATTAATAGCTTTGTTCCTTTTTCTCTAAGAATTTTTAGTCTTTATTACAGGGATGTCAACCTCTGAATTTTATAAATCTGGGCGGAGAAATTGCAACGATTATGTGTATGATGTCGCACTGTGAATGACGTCATTCATGACGTCACATTCTGTTTCAACCAATAAGAATAGACATTGCATAATCAGTTTATAAATTTTTCATGTGCGTGCATACGCGAGCAGCGCTTGTAGGTATTTCTTTGAATATTTGGTACAGTATCGAAAGATTGAGGAAACTCGACATAATTCATTGAAGGTTTTCTTTGTAAATAAAAATCTACAACGATGGTTAGTAATTACGATCATTCTATGAAAATATCATGCTCTACGGGAGATTTAGGACTAAAATCTTGATACCGGGAGATTCGATCTGAAATCAGGAGTCTCCCGGCAAATCCAGGAGAGTTGACGTCCCTGTAATTATGTAGATGCAACTTGGGCAGTATGTATCAATTTGATACTATAAATTTGAAATTGCTTATTTTCAGCTTCCATATTACATCAGTGGGGATATTAAAGTTACACAAAGCAATGCCGTGAGTATATAATGAAATGAATTGCTTGAAAATATWTGTCACAAGTTGATTAAAACCATATGCAGCCCTGGCAATATTTCCAGTCATTCYRAAATGGCATGYAGTRTGMAAAGTTTGCGAACGATGTARTTGAAATCAAGTATCTCTCGTCAAATAATGCTCTAATCCACACCAAAAACTGCAAGATTACACTAGATTTAAACAGCAGTTTGAATTGGGATTTGTCGCTTGGGAATTGGGATTTGAGTGAAAATTTTTCTGGGAATTGGGATTTTGATAATTAAAGAATTGATTGTGAATTGGGATTTTAAACCTCCATTCATGACCCAAAATTTTGTATACAAAAAATGAGCATTATATGGTTCAAAAATGTATACAAGTGTATAGGGCTGGGCTTGACTCTAGAGTGTTATAGAATAAAGATATGAAATGTAATAGTACAATCACTGTGATTGGTCCAAGTGTGTGAATTTTTTCACTGGTAAATGAGTGCTCGCCAGCATGACCAACTTTCCATCGGTGAAATAAAGGCATGCTTTATATACTCAGTAACAGAGAACACTCAATTACTCCAAAATCCCTTTTTGTGTTCTCCCAACATCACTGTGTTCTTGCTGAAGGCTATTTACAACTGATGAATATTAAAGAGACTCTCAAAACTTCTCTTGTGTGGTAATAAAATTCATTCATACTACTAACAGCTCTCTTTTTCAAGCTCTTGCTATTTTGTTTTTAATGTTTTTAAAAACATTTAAAGTCATGATAACACTTTATTGAGACAATTGTGATCTTGTTTGGATGCAGATACTCCGTGTCATTGCAAGAAAACACAACTTGTGTGGTGAAACGGAAAAGGAAAGAAGCATTGTTGATATGATGGCTGAGCAGGTAACATGGTCACAATCATTTGGTTAGGCACGACCTTGAGTACAATTTGGAATTAATATAGTCACAAGTAATGTTTTGAAAGTTCTTTGTAATTGCGAGTTGATCAATTGGTTGCCTCCAATTTGCAACCTTTTAAAGGTCGTATGCATGAAGTGCTTAAATATTTATAAACTGGATCGTCACTTTCTATATTTTGGTCATTGAAAACCATGTAAAAAAAGTCATGGAATTTGATGATAAACTTCAATTACGAACCCTGCTTCATTGCACCTTATTTTTTATGTTTTTCTTTTGTCWTTATTTTTTGCTTTTTATTCTTTTTATGAATTTGTAATAACATTTTCCCTCTTTTATCAGTTGATGGACTTTAGAAATGGATTTGTGCGCCTTTGTTACAACCCCAACAATTATGTAAGTAAACGACGAACATGTGAATACAATAATATAAAAATTACTATAATATTTTGAAGTAGGGGAAATTTTACCATAATGACCTAAAACTTTTCAGGGGTGTTGAGAAAAATAAGAAGAACACTATGTTGTAGTTTGMAATAATTTTATTCAGTTTTACCACTTTTATTGAACTTTTMGTTTTCTCTCAATGAAAGCCTGCGCATGCGTAAAAAGTGTTTTATAGACATCGATCTGGAGTGGCTATTCTAAAATTTGATGAATTACTGTGTCACGCTAAGAGTGCCAAGCTTCTAGAAACTAGACGCTCTTAGAGCGTAAAGTCGGGCTAGCTATTTTTGAAAATTGAGAAAAATAGGATATTACATGGGTGTCGAATTCTTAACTTCCGGTAGTCCCAAACGCGACATGATACATAGATAGATAGATTGGCAAAGAGGTAAAAATCAAGTCGACCTAGACTACGCCTAGCCCGACTAATAATCGTTTGTGATAATTAGGCTCCTTATCCACCACACGAGAACCACTGAAATCGATCACTTGGTCGTCTTCTAAAACATGTTGGCATAACTTGGATGAAATTTCATGCTTAAGCACGTTCCTCAGATGTTCATGGATGCGTGTTTTTAGCGATCTGTCCGTCTGTCCGTAGTAGGCAAACCTATACTAAGAGCAAGAGATCGTATACAAATGTGACGGCGTTTCAACTAAATAAACAAGTGAATACAAAAAAAAACGTACATGACATATTTTCAATTTCTGCAGATGCGACAAAGAAAGGCGCGACATTCTCTGAAATGTCCACGTAGAATTTTTAAAATGCCTCATCATTKCTGTACATCATTTCTATTTGACAGTTGCCCCTTTTTAGCTTTTATGTTCAATAAAGTACATTTTCCTACCAACTACTTACAGTGTAAAAAGTAATTGTATTGTAGACAGTTCTGACAGTCGTTCTTGTGTTACTGTCAGGAGGAAAACAAGAAAACCTACCTCGGCAATGTYCCCAAGACTATCGAGGCTTTTAGTGATTTTCTTGGCGAGAAGAACTATCTTGCTGGGGACAAGGTACATTGAGCCAAACAACKTTTCTTCGATAAGCCGATTAGATTATTGTAAATTGACTGTTAATGTTTCTTTTTAGATAACCTTTGTTGACTTTGTCATGTATGAACTGCTTGACCAGCACAAAGTCTTTGAWGCGTCTTTACTTGAACCTCACAAAAACCTTCAGGTAATCCAGTAGTGGAATTAGATTAGGGATAAAGTATAATTAGCGAATTGCACGCTAAAAGGTCCTCAGTTGGGGCATTTTGACAAGCTGATTTTACGCTTAAAATGAGCAAGTTTATATTTATTTAACAACTAGGCTTACAGCAAAAGGCCTTCCTGAAATTTTAGCAACGTAAATCATTAATTTTTAGACATTTTTAGACATGTAGTATAAAGAGGTTGAGTTATATACTGTAGAACAGTTTCTGACATTGAATACGAACTAGTATGACATATACATAATAAAAGTGTCATTCGGGCAGCTAAGGGGAAAAAAGAAAATAAATACCTTGTCAAGAGGAGGGTTTACTGAATATTAATTTTGCTATTTTCTTCCAAAGGCATTTATGGAGCGAATTGAGGTAAGATGTCGACAGATACAACTCAATAAATACACTTATAAAACTTATTAATAATGCATAAGCTATTGCTCCAATAAGGGCTGACCATTTAATCAGGTGATTGACCTTGTAAATCTGATACAACCACTAGTGGTTGTATCAGATTTACAACACGGTCGTCACCATTGAGACAACCCAACACTAGGAAAGGTCTCAGTTTTAGTGTCGCATCATAGACCTTCACTACGTTTTGAAGCAATCAAAGACGGATAACAGAACTCGCTTATGCAACAGATGGCTTGCTTTCCATGTGGGATGGATAATTATTCAAAATGTTCTGTGTTGCAGTAAATTGCGCATGCTTAATAGGAACTAAACTCAGCAGTTACCTTATTTGTCATTTTTCGTCATTTATCTCACTGTAATTCATGTTAATTTGTGTAGGAGTTTTATAAGTCGTTTACAACATTCGCGTCCGTGTTGTATGGGAATTACAATCTCTCGCCTGCGGCTCGAGATTGTAATTCCCATACAACACGGCCGCTCATGTTGTAAACTATACTTAAAGGCACAGTTTGAACCATTATGCTTTGCGCACCTCTGTATTTGTTAAGATTTTAGATAAAAATACTTCTAGTTTCCAAATATCACCATAAAATGAATGTCCGATGGTTGAAAACTCTGATATTAGTGTTGAAAGTGCTTTGAAAAGTGAGATGGCCAGGATTCGAATCGCACAGTACAGTTCAGTATAGACTTTCAGTAAACTGAAAATGGCCGATGCCAGGCCCTCGCGGCCCGCAAAGCATAACGGTGCTCACTGGGCCTTTAAAAACAAAGATGACAATTAAGTAGAGTTAGACTAAAAAAGCCATAATATATATGAGGCTTGCTAACAGAGTGTGACGGCTATATCTAGGCAATAGAAGGCAGTTTCCTAGTGCTACGCGGCTTACATAATCAAATCTTTACATTTCAATTACCGTGACCTAACATCTATTTCACCTCGGTCCGCTCCCAGTCTGGCCTTGCATGTAGCTCACCTGGTAGAGTACATATCAGTCCGAGGGTTGTGGGTTCGAATCTCAGCAGGGTCGGAAATTATTTTTTTCCGAATATATTTCCAAGGGTCTTCAGTTCACCCGGAATAACCTCCTTTCTAAGCATTACATCTTTTCACTACTTCTATTTCGTGTAATGGAGTTTCGACTGCATTGTGTTTTTTTAATGAGTTTAGAAGTTGTTCATTTTATCTTTTTGTTTGTTTACAGGCATTACCAAAAATAGCAGAATACATGAAAAGTGACAAGTTCATGACGCGACCTATCAACAATCCCATGGCGGTGTTCAAATAGCTAACACGATAATACTGTAGTTCGGACCATATATACCATATATTCCATATTCAC